TTGCGAAATCTTACTGTTTTTACTTTCAACAAACACATAAAATTACCTATTATTCACACACACTTCACAATCGAATAATATAGGTACTTGTACTAGAAACTGATAAACAAATACACTATTTGAAAAACCTACACATATATTTAACTACTACTACACATTTATGCAACTTTATGTTTAAAACTAATTCCTAATAATTTAAACGAAAACATAAACAAAGCGATCGCACATCACATGAAAACAATATGGCCGAAAACATTGGAAACGAATTGAAGTCATTACCAATAGTCAATTGAGTGTTTATTATAAAAAAATGTAGCTTAAAAATTAAGGTAATGCAGCGTTTAATTTAAAAAAAACAAAGGTTAATTTAGTAAGTCAAATGAAATTGCATCATCGTCTTAAACCAATATTTCATACTAAAAAACATTCATTCATATAATTTGAAACGTTGTAAATGGCGCCATCTTGAAGTTTCAATAACTTCCTTTTAACTTTTATAATAATAAAGTCAACTCCTTGTTTAAAATTTCTATAAACCGACAACGCGTAAAAATGTTAAGCTTTAATTAAAACACTTGAAACATATTTGTTAAATACGCATTTATAAAAATACATTCGCATTATATCGAACGAGTTCAGAAGTTTCAACAAAAAATTCAATAGATGTCGCTGGTGTACTCCATTCATCAGTACTTTACGATATACAGATTTTATCAATTTAAAACCTTTTATAATTTAATTGTTTTTAAAAATACAATAACTTGTTGCTGTTTTATTGTTTTAGAATTCTTAATAAAATACGATCGTTTTCCAAGAGATGAACGAACGGTCCTCTAATTTTTTAGTTGCAAACATTTTGTCAATCAACAGGAATCGTGTAATATAATTATGAATGGTTATTCTGTACCGTGACTATGGTCGTGAACTTCACGCATGCGCGGTGCATACTTTTGGTACATTTCTTTTGTGACGTCACTACTGCCAACCAACATTTAAGGAATAGTGGCGCATGCGTGGTGCGTGCGGGGCGCATTCATTACTTTACAAAGGCGCGTATTTATGTTAGCCGTTTTTTTACAAACTTTTATTATACTATTGAATTTTAATAAACGCGTTTGTACATTTTATGTATGTTATATATTCACGATATTTATAGGTAGGCAAAGCCTTTTCGCCTATATGGACTGCACGCCACTGCTATATCTAAAAAAAATGCTAGAATAAATCGAAAATTAAGTATATCGGCTAATTACAGTATTCGTCCTGAAGTACAGCTTTATTTATATATATTTATATGTAATCATATTTAAATATTTCGAATTATTTTATTTATTATGTTTGTTATAATTTGCTTAAGTTTATATTTTATCTTTAGGTCGTACATGCAGTACCTATGTACCTCATGTTTGTAATGTGTTGTCCTTTGTAATATTGTCTGTGTGGTGTAGGTACATGAAATGATAAATAAATAAATAAGGAATGAAAGTGTAACTATTTTTCAATATTTAATTGGACTGAAATATCAAAATAATTTATTATTGACCCAGGAAACTACCCAATTGGTGGTAGCATAGTGCGCGGGCTTCTATACAACGTCATAATGTTGTACTGGCCGCCGCAGTCTGGCTGCGAAGTGCCTAAAGATATTAGATTCAAAACAGGTTTTGATTAAGGAAAACTCTTTAACAGAATATCTACATCACATACTTCATATACATACCACATACAATAACATACGTTGTAAAATGCGTCTCAAAAACTACCAAACCGATAATGATGACGGCATATAGGTCGAGTGGTCGGTTCAAATCCCGGGTAGGGCAAAATATTACTGGGTTTTAAAAAATTCTCAGTAGTAACACGGAGTCTGGAAATGTGCCCGGTATATGGCAATGGGCTCACCCCCTATTACATGGGACTCATAACATAAATAGTGAAAAGTGGGTGTTACATTGTACAGTGGTATTGAGTGCCGTAATGTGCATCTCTGCCAGGGCGTAGCTAGTGCCGTATCAATTATATGAGGCCCCCGGACGGGGGGCCCCCCAGCGTGTGTAAGCAAAAGTATACAACTTATCACTTTATATTTTATTTCAGTAATCACAAAATGCATGCGTTCAAAGGTTGGCAGAAACTTTGGAAAAACTGAAGTACCTACCTAATCATTAATTCATTCACTTAATCATTGTATCATATAGGTACTTATATAAGTGATAAGAAATTTTAACAGTAATAAGTTTATAGTGAGTAATTAAGTTAGTAATGAATAGAATAAGTACATAATATATTAGATGATTATTTAGTTATTATTTATAAGTTAAATTGCTGCGCCCTAACAGGGTGATGTACTGTACTAGTAGTATAATACCACTATGTATATATATTTTGCAATAAATAAATAAAATAAAAAAATCATTGTCCGATAATTTGGGCAGAGGAGGGACTTTATGTAAAAAAATGTCTTCTGAAAAATTTTACATTTCATAAGAGCCCACAAACAAATTTTTGTACGGTACGCCAAGATATGCTACGCCACTGATCTCTGCCAACCCGTTCAGGGATAAAAGGCGTGATGTTATGTTATGAAGCAGATAGAATACCAAGGTACATTTGTCACTACCCCTGGTCTTCCGCGGCTGTCGTAGGAACCGACTAAGGGATTAAACAGTAGGTACACCGAAACAGATGGGGATAAATAAAAAAAAAATGTTGGTAAATAATTTATTTACCTACAGCAAACCATTTAGTATTAAGTCTTCGTGGTTGATTCTCCGTGGTATAACTTGTAGATTTTGGATGCTGACTGGAATATGTCCTGGAAGATAGCTGAAAATTTGCACATAAGAAACTATTTATCTACTTATAACTATTTACACATCTCTGTAGATGTGACTTCGAAACTCTCTTTCTTTGTTTAACTCGTCGAGCACCGTCATTATAGACACAATTAAAGAACAATAGGTTGCGGTCACCGGTGACCGCTTGGTGTTTGACAGTTTAAGGGGGAAAATCATCGAATGACTTCTCCCGCCTATGTGAGGCGGGAGGGAGTGTCAGACTCTTACTGACTAAAAACCACCCCGATCGAAACCTAGCAATATGAATGCTTTATGTATTTTCTAAGATTATACACACACAACCTTAGACTGCCTCGTTGGCCGAGTGGTCGCAAGTGCGACTGCCGGACACGGGGTCTCGGGTTCGATTCACGGGTCGGGCAAAGTATTACTGGGTTTTTAAAAAAAACCTCAGTAGTAGCACGGAGTCTGGAATTGTGCCCGGTATATGGCAATAGGTTCAATATGCAATAGGTACATGGGACTTATAACATAAATAGTGAAAAGTGGGTTTTACATTTTATAGTGGCATTAAGTGCCGTAATGTGCACCTCTGCCTACCCGTTCGGGGATAAAAGGCGTGATCTTATGTTATGTTGTTATAACCATATAACATAATAAACAGCGCGAGGTAACCTAGACTTTTATTTCAAACTAGCTTTCCTCGATAAAAGCACTGTCGTACACAATTAGAATTATTCTAATTAAATCAGTAATACCAGAGAGTAGTGCGTTAAAACAAAAAACTATTCAACTTTACATTATTGTTAGATAGATTATTATGACTTCGTACCGCCTAAAAAATTAATATCCCCTTTTAAACCTTCCCTGGGGTCTTAGTGATCGTTTTCATAACTAAAACTAAGTTATAGATCGTTACTATAACGACTGTCAAAGTTGTAATTTGGCTAGCATTTATAGACTTTGTATAGGATTAAATAGCGATTGACGTCGTGACGTCATATGATAAAATAAATAGTTTTGTTATTTGGCTACCAATTTTCTTTTGACCACGTTACTTAGTGTGGACCTTATGTCATTCCCATACATTATAAAATACTTTTCTACTAACGATATCGTTTGTAGATTTCAACCGATTTGGCTAGCACCGCTAGACTTCCACGAACATTTTAACACCAAAATTAGCCAAATCGGTTCAGTTGTTCTCAAGTTTTAGCGAGACTAACGAACGGAAATTCATTTTTATTTATATAGATCTATGTTATGTTAATATTCACCTTCATCAATATGAACACGTTCTGTTATCACTTCTGCCTTCATCGTATTAGCTCCCGATATACTACTTATACTGAACACTAACAATAATATAACTAAAACTCTCATTTTTATACAATTCTTTAACACCCGAGTGTTGAACGTACGACGAATAAATGTAAAGTGAGACTAAAGCCTTTGTCGTTCATAAATAGACTTCATGTTGTATACAGGTTGCGCTTAAAAAGTTGAATAAAGTTATAAAAAATGAACAAACGGTAACACACACAGCCCGTCAGTCTGTCAGTGTACCGTTCGAGGTCTGTGGCAAATGTATCGGATGGACCCCCGTTCCCTATAAAAAAGAGAAATGTGCATACAGAAACTTCAGAACAGGAGCCCCTTCCAGCTGGGGTCCCATGCTATTTTGCGATTTACCACCCTGAGGTAGTATGCGGTTACGCCACTGGGTTTCCTCTTCATAAGTAAATAACTACTTCCGCGCTGTTTCACACGCTCTGCTTAGCTCCTATTGGTCGTAGCGTGATGTTTTATAGCCTATAGCCATCCTCGATAAATGCGCTATCCAACACAAAAAGAATTATTCAAATCAGACTTGTAGTTACGGAGATTAGCGCGTTCAAACAAGCAAACAAGAAAACCAACTCTTCCACTTTATAAGTGAAATACAGAAATAATAGTATAAGATAGGATTTATCTCAACGATTGGTAGCTTAGAGAACAACTTAGAGATCGAATCTCATGATATAATAATAATTATATTATACTGTGCCCACGGTGTTGGTACCACAAATATATTAAAGAAGGAGATGGTGTGGACGTGGAGTCAAAAATGAATGCAAAACCGGTGAAGCCACAATTGCCCATACATAAAACTAATATTACCTACACACATAGTTCTATGTGGTTGGTACAATTACAAAGACTGTGCCGTGATGAATTGATGATATGTTATTTGTGGCAAACATCAAGCGTGTGGACTGGACGGGGCTTGAGTCTCATAATAAAACATGCTGTATATAAAATTATTCTCTGAGATGTAATTTATTCATTATACATATCTACATATTTATAATGGTAAACCCGTTTTATAACTTATACTAGCTAGCTACTTCCGCGGCTTCACGAGCTCTGCACGGCGCCTATTGATCGTAGTGTGATATTATCACTTCGGACCAATACTGCTTGATATTACCCCGTTCGAATAAACAAACAAACAAACGTTATAATAACTATCGTGAGACATAAATTAATTAAAAATCGCGGGTTACTCGCGTGAATTAAGGAAACTTGGTTGGGTCGCTAGCCATGTGGTAGTCGCTGGGGTGGAGTCACTATTAAAACCGTTTTTTGCACTTGATATAAAAATAGTTTAAAGATCTAACAGTATAGTAGGATAATTGTTTTATTTGATGAGCAAATTTAGTGTACATTCAGTATTTTTGGTCGTAATTTCGAATATTTTGACTGAACTATTTGCAGAAATAAATTCACTTGTTTCACTTGCTTGTTTCACTTGTTTCATTTGAAAAAAGGGAATTTACAGTAAAGTATTAAATGCCACCCTTTATTAAAAACTAGGTTGCACTAGCCTGTGCGCTATTTCAGAATATAATTTTCTATCTCTGTGCCCAATAGGGCTGATGCCGAACCGGATTCGAAGATAGGTACTGACACTCCCTCCCGCCTCGCTCAGGCTGGAGAAGTCATTTGACGATTTCCCCCTTAAAAAAATCTATGCGTGAAGTTTCATTAAGTGAAATAACAAGTAAAACAAGTGAATTTATTTCTGCAAATAGGTTACAAGTAGGGTTGCCACCCGTACTTTATAAAAAAGTATTGTACGTTATTTAAGGTAATTGTACTCTATACTTTATAAGAATAATAAAGTACACGAAAATACTTTATTTTTGCAAACTTCATTTCTATTAAAGTCGTAAGTATTTTTCGGTAAACTTATCGATTCGATATCGATATTTATCCATTTATATTGCATCGATTTCGCCAGGACATGTCTTGACAGGGTTTTCATTGTCACAGGGACAATTCATGTCCCTGGGACATGTCTTGGTTCCCGCCACGAAGTAAACCAGAAGATAATATTATAAGAGGAGAAGAAAAAACGACGAAAGTTTCCAATTCCCTCGGTGAATTACTGCAGGAGACAGAGTGAATTAAGCCTAAAGGCACAAAAAAGGAGATTACAACTGGGTGAAGCCCAGTCGCCAAGCACCACGGAAATTTGACTAAAATCTAAGTCTATGTGTGAGCTGTTATACTTGCTTCCAATAATAGATATGGCAAAAACGCCTAAACTCACGGAAATTCGTTCTAGATCCCACAAGGTCCGTATAATGCAGCTGCACCTGACGAAACAATTAAATTATTTAACATAGTGTTACGTTCATACTGCCAGAGATCACACTCCCAGAGTATGTGATGGGCAGACTGCTCGTATTGCAACTCCGCTTTCGAACATTGGTGTATTTCTTTAACTAAAAACCGTGGGTTACTCACTTGAATACACTGAGAAAAGCTCTACAAGTTTTGTTCGATGCAATATGTTGCAAACGACTACCGTTGCTCGTCGAAATATAACGTGACTGCACGGAGTCGCTAGCACGCTGACGCAGTGCAGCGAACCGGGTGCATTCATAGCCATTCTCACCAGCCATTATTATAGCATAGTTTCGTAGAGTAAAGCTTAACTGTTTTACTGAATGACTATCTTTTAACTAAAAGTAAATCTAATAATTCCTAACCTAACGTAACCTATTTTGGAAATTCCGTTGTACCTTGTATTTACATAGAACAATTTGTGTCCAAATCAGTATTTTCGTTTTACGGTGAGTAATAAGTAGTTAATTTGTAGTATAGTCATTTTTTGATATGCAGTAGATTATTAGTGGAGAAATTTGGTTTGCTTAAATTTCTAATTAGAGGTGCAGTAAAAAATCCCCTTTAATAAATATTAATTTAGATATTCTAATTAGACTGTTTACGACATTATTCCGTTCATAAATATTAAAGAATTAATACCTACTCGATAATTCTGATAATCCTTCAACTATTTGATAGGAAATCTAATACTTATTTTATGATATTACAGTATTGATATTAGACACGTCATCAAATACTTTATTTGTTGACTCATATTTGCTAATAGATATTTTGTAGATACGTAAATATACATACTTGACGTGGCGCTTTTCAATCCTTGAAGAGGTAGACAGAGGTAGGATATTTACGGCCTCTTACACAACATCTGGATAGCAGCTATGTACCTACATACCAAATAAACTTGAACTAGGGACGTAATTTTTAAGAACTTCTTTTTATATATAACTAGCGACCCGCCCCGGCTTCGCACGGGTGCAATATGCATGTATTATACATTCAAACCTTCCTTAAGAATCACTCTATCTATTAAAAAAAACCGCATCAAAATCCGTTGCGTAGTTTTAAAGATCTAAGCATACATACGGACATACAGCGAAAGCGACTTTGTTTTATACTATGTATTGATCGTTCTGGTGTACTAGCGACCCGCCCCGGCTTCGCACGGGTGCAATATGCATGTATTATACATACAAACCTTCCTTAAGAATCACTCTATCTATTAAAAAAAATCAAACCTTCCTTAAGAATCACTCTATCTATTAAAAAAAACCGCATCAAAATCCGTTGCGCAGTTTTAAAGATCTAAGCATACATACGGACATACAGCGAAAGCGACTTTGTTTTATACTATGTATTAATTAATTAATATTAATAATATTCTCTAATATCGTGGGTGCGTTTACGAAAGTATAAATAAGTTCACATACCTACACATTACACCCAGACCAGAAACAACAATTTGTGAATCACACAAAGGATTGCTCCATGCTGGAATGAAACTCGCTAAGCATGGGTGAGGGGAGAAGGAGTATCAGATTCTTGCTGACTAAAAGTCACCCCGTTCCTACTCCTACCATTCGTGCCGGAGCCCTGTTAGGCCTCCTGCGGCTCCGTATCAGACATCAACCCTACTGGGGCCCAACTGTGGTGGTATAATGCCTTTTCGAAATGCGCTCGGAACACGCCACGCCATAGGTACACACAGGTCTGGTTCTGGTCGCCTTACGGTGGCCAGAGATCCCCGACGCCCGGAGTGTCTCCCGCGACGGCTGGGGCGTGAGGAGGTTCGTTCCCTCACGCGCCTCGCCTCCTTCTTGACTAGCATGACTGCTTCGCAGAAGGAGCAAACTGAATGCTAGTCCCACTTGCTCCTAACCATGGCCTGAACCAGAGCCGGATGAGGTGCTTGTTAAGGGCGCTCTCTAGGCTTGGTGGGCTCTAGGTCGTCATTCTAAAATGTAGATTTATATGGAGAAGAATGAGTGAGAAACTTCGTGGTTCCTACTCTATCAGTACCAGGCAGACCCTTAAAGATAAAACTATCAAAAACTGTGAAACTAAAAAACCCAATGTCTAATGCTTAATTCGTATTAAAAAAGGTATAGACGAGAATTATAAAGTAGCTACATAATCTAGGTACTTACAAGAAATTGGTTAATCTTAGGCGTCGACAAGTTAATCCTACTTAAGTACTTAATTATAATAATTTACGATTCTTACAACTTTTATTATCGTTTTCGCCGCAGTCTACATTCATTGATAAATATGTAAATCTCGTATTATTTTCAGTGGTTCATCAAAACAGTTAAAAATCTTATTGTGTAGTTAGAGTCTAGAGCGGCAAACGAGTACCTACTTAGACGGATCACCTGATGGTAAGCAATCAGCGCCGCCCATGTACATCCACCAGAGGAGATACAAATAGGTACCTTGCTGACTTTTTGGTGAAGCGTCACGCCGGTATCCGTGGTCGTGAAATTGAACCGGCCCGAAAGTACCGAAATGTCTTTTCAATGTGAAAAAATATATGAGGCCGTTCTATTAAGACAAATCACAAATACCGAGATATGAATAGTCCAGAATAACAAGGTAAGGTATTTCGTTAGCCGAGTCTTCGTAAGTGGAATTTCCGAGCAAGGAGTCTGGTGTCCGATTTCCAGATCAGGGTATCTGATCCGGAAAACCGGCCTTCTGATGGCACCCTTCGATAATTGATCAATCAAATAAATATTTAGACACAACAAGGCCTAATAATTACAAAATGGTCATTATCACTTGATGCAACAGCGTCTAGAACAAATTGTATGTTTATGTTTTTTTTATCACAGTATCAATCTTTGGCACACTTTTTTACAGCCTAGTCACAAGTCATAAAACGTACATAATGTTCTAAATGAGTAAACAATAATACAAATAAAACTGTCTGTTTAGGACACGATGCCGATGACATTTTATCGGAAACATATTGCTTTTTATATCTCTTCATTATTAGTACCTATTCCAATAATCGATGTCCGACTATAGGCATAATTTTGTCTTCCTCTATTGATTGTAATCTGTGCAAAATTATTCGACAGCGCATGAAAAAATTTAACAATCGTATTATCTGCGTTTTAAGATATATTTTCCAATGTTTTCGTGTATTTCGATAGCAAAGTGGTTTATCAATTAATTGTTAGCTTATTTATATAAAAGTAGTTGATTGGTCTTTAGGAATTAGACAGTAATACACAGCTTTAGACTGTTTAGGATTCTGTCCAGTGCCGCGATCAACGCGTCTTGGGTGAAAAAAAAACATCGCGCCTTTTTTTGTTCTAAAACTTTTTTACTCTGTGTCAGAACTGAAATTTTCAAATTTTAAAATGTTCGGTGAGTGTTTTTTTTTTTATTTTAGTGATCAATTTAATTAATTTATCAATTTAGTGATCAATTTAATCTTATTTTTTGCGTTTTAAGTTTTTAACGTAGGTTAAAACTTATTTATTAAATATTTTAACAATTATGCTGATTAAAAAGATATTTCGGTAATCGTACCTAAATCGTAAAAATAAAATGAACATAAGTAATATTAAAATATTTTTAAGTTCGTAGATTTAAATTAGAATAGGAAAGACGAAGTCCTCTAAAATGGAAAAATAAAATTAAAATAATAAAAATATAAAAATATTTTTTTTCTGGAGATTAATTAATTATTATTAATTTCTGCATTGGATACGGTGAACTGATACAATTTTTACCCCTCGGGAATATTTTCCTAGTACCTAGTAGTAGGTAGTTGAGATACCTTAAGTAGTACTCTTGTTTAGAAGGTAGGAAACGCACATAGAGTAAAATAATATATCGGAAACGCATTTGCAACTGCCGACTGGTGCTGTCATGGCGCTGACTTAGGTACCTACTATCAGGAATCTGGATATCCCGGGTAGGTACTAGGATCACGTCATAATCAAATTATTGACTTTTCTAATAATTTTAGCAAAAATCAAAGACAACTGATTTCAAGTAATCCCATGAACAATTTTTAATGCTAAGTTAAAGTGCTCAACAACCCGAGACCCGCAAGAGTAGGCCTACCTACCTACCTAACCTAATTCTTTGTTAAATGGATACTTTGTTATAGACTCCGTTAATTAGTTAATGTACTAAAATAGTGTATGACGTGAATCAATAAATCCCTTGCTAATACTGATTAGGTGAATTAGATAGAAATAGAAAAGCCTTCTGATAGATTGACGTGACGCTATTGGTTCTTAGACTGATTAGTAAATAGGCAGACCGTAGCTATTAATTATAATACTTTGTTTTGTAGGTACTTTTTTAATGACGTAGATATTTAAACTGTCAAACACCAAGCGGTCACCGGTGACCGCAACCTATTGTTCTATAATTGTGTCTACAAAACCGGTACTCGACGAGTTAAGTAGATATACATAGGTAGGCTGTACCTACCCAAATTAAATCTATGGCCGAAAGGGCGCCAAATGTACCGTAATGGCTACCGGATACATTCCGGTGAGTGTGCGGGGGAATTGCACAACTTGATTCCCCCTAGTCCTTTCCATCATTGTACCACAAGACAATCGGCCAAACCGCACGAAGCGCTTCGCATCAAGCTTTCTTGTGCGTATCTACTGCTAAGAAGTGGAATTCGTTGCCAGAGTTTGTATTTCCTGAAGGGATAGATTGGAGATACCTATTAAACTGTCAAACATCAAGCGGTCACCGGTGACCGCAATATATTGTTCTATAATTGTGTCTACAAAACCGGTACTCGACGAGTTAATTAGAGATTGGATTAGTACCTGCGACTAAATTAAATCTTTTTGCAATTAACAGTCTACCGTTCGCTATATCAATATGATTACATAATATAAAGCAAAGTATAGGTAAGGCTGCCTTGTTGGCTGAGTGGTCGCAAGTGCGACTGCCGGTCTCGGGTTCCATTCCCGGGTCGGGCAAGGCATTACTAAGTTTTTATTTAAATCTCAGTAGTAGCACGACGTCTGGAATTGTGCCCAATATACCTAGGTATAGCAATAGGCTCACCCCCTATTACATGGGACTCATAACATAAATAATGAAAAGTGGGTGTTACATTGTAGTGACATTAAATGCCGTAATGTGCACCTCTGCCTACCCCTTCGAGTATGAACGGCGTGATTTTATGTTATAAAACAAAGTTGCTTACCGTTGTCTGTTCCTATGTGAGCTTAAATCTTTAAAACCAGAGAACGGATATTGATGCAGTTTCTTTAAAAGATAGAGATATTTAAGAAGAAAGTTCACAGTTAACACGTGCGATGCCACGGGCAAAAGCTATATCTGTAGATAGAATATTTGAAGAATACAAGTCAAATGTACAAAAAATAATTATTGTTTATTAATAATTTAATAATATCACTATCAACTAGAAATTTTTACATCAATGCATTCGCCACCTTCCAGCTCGAGATCCCGAGGCGTGGACTTATCTGTAACAGGGATAATTTCATTTTAATATTATTAGGTATAGAAAAAAACATAATACGACCATAAGTCTAGGTCTTTGTTGATATATGTATTTATACCTATATATTTTATGCATATGACTATATAACCTATTTACTATTATGTAATATATCTGTTGCCTGCCTCGTTGGTCGAGTGGTCGCAAGTGCGACTGCGGGGCAAGGGATCTCGGGTTCGATTCCCGGGTCGGGCAAAGTTTACAGGGTTTTTAAAAAATTCTCAGTAGTAGCACTGAGTCTGGTATTGTGCCCGGTATATGGCAATAGGCTCACTCCCTCTTACATGGGACTTTCAACATAAATAGTGAAAAGTGGTTGTTATTGTACAGTGGCATAATGCGCACCTCTGCCTACCCCATTCGAAGATAAAAGGCGTAATGTTAAGAAAGTACAAGCGTAAGCTAGTTCTTTGTGGAGAATTCTTTTAAATTAGAAACAATCACCAATTCAAAACTTACTCGATATCAAATCTCCGTCGAAATAGAATTTCAGTCTTTCTAGTTGCACCTCCAAGTGCTCCGCACACTTCACCATGGCCGCAGCAAACTTATCATCTGCTCCCAATGTCGTCTCAAATGGTTTCTTCATATTCTGACATTGAAATTTAATCTTAATTCCATTAATCACTTTCTCCGAACTGTTGCTTGTTGCTAAATGTGACACATTCTGGTTAACGATGCCCCCATCTATAAACTTCGCTATACTATAGTTTATTGAGTCTGGAGTATCATCCATCTTTATGATCCTATCGTTATACAGAAACAATAATTTATCATTACCAACACCCTCCTTTTCCATAAAGTAATTGAATATCTGTGTTAATTTTTGATATTTCCTTATTTTGAATTTGAACACTTCCAAGTTCTGCCAGTATACTTTTACTGACATTTCTTCGTTGTCGTTGTCCAGCGGATCTTCATCATCAATGACTTGGACATCGTTATCAGCTGGTCTTGTTGAGAATAGTTGCTGGTTATCACTCTGGTCTGGGTATTCATCAGTGTTGCCGACACTGTATATGGGGTAGTCGGCTGCATTGCGGCTATCAATTCTGTCAAATATGTTATCAAAGATAGCCCACAGTTCCCTGCGACTGCGGATGCGTCCGCGACCTCGTCCTCTACTCCCTCTGCCCCTGGCTGCGCCTCTCCTCGCCCCTCGCCCTCTACCTCGTGCAGAAGTTGTTGCAGTTTCATTTACAGCCGCTGGCGGCGTTGGCTCACGAACCGGTTCCTCTATCACAGAATTATGTTCGACAGATGACGTGTTTTGATCAGTATCTACAGAACTACTCATACCTCTTCGTGAATTTCTAGTTTTCCGCCTTCCTGGCGGTGGTTCCTGCGTAGACGAGCCCGCAGAAGCGTCACTGCTCTTTCGTTTTCCACCACGACCTCGCTTCGGCTTAGTCTTACTGTTCCTCGCTATTATCGCGTCCAGCGTGAATTCATCATTATCCGTACTATTTACAGTTACATTACAATCTTCCACGACCACTATTGATGTGTTTTCTTCATTTTTAGGCAATTCTTTACTGGATTCACCAAGTTCTAGCGAATCATCTAATTTGTAGCTTTCCAACTTTTCTTTCACAAAAGTCTTCTTTAATTTTTCTAATTGTTGAGCCACATTACCGTAGCAATCATCGTCGGAGTCGGAAGAAGACATTACAGTATGTTTTATATACAAAACATTAGTTTTACAAACACAAAACACACTAGGTACGACAGGAAATTCAAAATATTTGACAGCTATAGTGATGTACTAAGCGACTCTTTTGACGCAATGATGATTTATCGATAGTTTTCATAGAGATCTTCCGATCATTTATTTTTTTATTATTAGATTTTCTCAAAACACAATCATAAAACAAATTATTTTTTCAAATTGAAACACGAATATTATCTATCTACGCAGTAGTGTAAGAAATGTTTACAATAATGATTAATTTTTAACTGAGTCACTAATATGTTGATAGGTATTTGTTTATGATTAGAAAGTGGACACAGAAAAATGTTTCCGATATATTCATATTACTTTAATCCCTTACATTATTGTCTATAATTAATTTGCTCGATATCGACTATGAATTCACGACGAAATGCAGAACAACACAAAACACAAACTATTAAAACGTCTGTACTTGCGTTTTGTTACTCTTTGACGATAAAATCAATCTATCACAATTTATCAAATTACCATAATCTATTGATCACAAACAACTTGCGAGTGCGACACGTGTATAGCGTTGTTAATTAATGGTCAATACGATTTCTAGAAACAAATTATAAATCTTTCACAATAAATTTTCCTGTTTACTAAGAATTAGGAAATAATTAAACGTAGATTATGGTTGCGTTCATAAAATATTAAATTTCTAATATTTATCTTATCAATGTTGATAAAGATGGAAAATTATATTTATTTTATAGGCATATGTGTGATAAATAATATGTATGACACATCACAAATGCCGGCAAATATGAAATCTCAAACACAAAGTCGCGTCTACTTAATAACATCAAAAATATTATTGTGTTTGCTGTAAGGATTGCCAAAAACGAGGTGGATGCGGTGACAGCTGAAACTAACATTGTTTAGGACTGAATCACCCACTTCGGACCACATCCCATGAATAAACAATCATCGAAACATAGTAGTATCACCTCTTTTTAAACTTGGTAAAAATAACAAAATTAATTATCAAAACCAACGTAGCATACCAGCAGCTGAAGCCAAATGCCATTTACCGCTTGTCTACATGTAGAATAGAAAACTAAAATTATATGGAATTGACGTAAATTTTGACACTTTTCAGTGTCATCCACATACGTTTAGTTTTCTACTCTCTCTGTAGACAAGCGCTAAAGTGGCGTTTGGCTAAAGGCACAGGTTGCCAAAGGTACGGCACTACCGACCTCAATACCAAACACCTTTTTTGCTAAGCGGTATCTACCACCAAACTACCACCTATCTATTTGAGAATAAATATTTTTGTAATAACGATACGAGGTTTTATCAATTAATCATTAACTTATTACAATTTTCAAATGGAGAGGTAACCTAACCTTATTCACATATTAAGAGCTGATAACGTAATTAAATCAAAATCAAATTATTGGCAACATAAAATTAGAATCAAAATCAACTAAGTTAATTAACTTAGATTATAAAGCTAAGTTTACATACTCTCTGTGAGTTCACAGGTTCTCAGACTCTCAGTTACAATCAGTTTAAAATATTATTATAATAATATGTAGTTAACTTTGACCTCTTCAAATAAATAAAAAGGTAAGTGCCCCACGTAAGCACTTACGTTTCTATTTCAAATTGTGACCGTTATATAACTATCTATTTCCGCATTTTTTACCGCGCAATCGCAAGTCCACAGATAAAAAACCACTTTGCAGACAATAAATCGATTTTATTATTTTATTGTCTAAAAAAATCTTTAATGGTGTTATTGCTCGTACAAGCAATTATTGTTTTATTTATCAAATTTTTTAATCTATTTATGATAAACTATAAAATAGTTTAGATCTCTGATTTCATAATTACAACATGTTGTTAAATTATCTAAAGCGATACAACTTAAGATAATTTAATAGAAATAGAATTAGATAGATAAATATTGCGTAGGTCACATTATAGGTAAAGCGTTTCATACGGAATCAAACAATCAGCAATCGGCGTTGCCAATGGACACTTGGAACACGAGTTTCTATTTTTCTGTTCACTGAACGTAATCTAGGATTACACGTCTGGTGCACTTATTTAAACATTATAAAATTATTTTAATACGACTATCGCCGGGCAAAGTCTAAGCTAGTCCGAAATTCAAGTGCGTACGGCGCATCGCGTTCCGCGTGCGCCTCAAAGAGCCATTAGACAGATAGGCGGAAGGCCTAACGAGTTTCCGGGGCTCCCGCTCAAGCAGGAGTAGGAATCATCCAATGACTTCTCCAGTCTTGAGTTAGGCGAGAGGGAGTGTCAGACTCTTATTGACTAAAAACCACCCCGTTCCTACTCCTGATTTTCCAGCCGGAGCCACGGCAACCCGTTAGGCTTTCCACGGCTTGCTGGCTAGTGTTAGTCTAGTGCCTAATAACTACGTAGATGATAAAAATTCTTCAAGAACTTATTGTCGCCAACCTAATACCTAACGAACTTCGATCAACAATAACAACTAGATAAAGGGTTACGTCCAAATTCAAGCTCCAGTTCTGTCCGTGTGAATAATAATAGTAAAAAAATAACAAACGGAGGAAAATGTTTTAAAATAGTTTTAAGTTCAACCTAATAACAACCATGGCACCTAATAATATAGTCATAAATCGTCAAAATATTATCTAATACTTACGACCATTCGTCACATAAGACAAGAAAAGTATTTTCTTACTCCTGTCATGTAGAAATTTAAAAGACATAAGTTATACAATATTTAGTTTGAATTTAACCTTAAGCTCGAACAAATAAAGATAATTTTTCCATTATTGTATTGCGATCTATATCGTTTTGTTTTGTTACGTTTTGCTTCTTCAAATTTCGAATTTCGCTACAGGAGGTATGTATGGAGTCGCGTTGGACACTTAAATAATTTTATAATATGTAAATTAAGATTTCGGGATCTTAGTATACATCACTAATTTTTATTAGCGGTACGTTTTTGTGTATGATATGTTTATTTACTTTATCATTAAAAGTCTAAGTCAAAATCATTTATTTCAGTTAGACCAGGAAGGCACTTTTGAACGTCAACAATATAAATTTAAAAGTGAAGCTATTTGCTCATTCCAAGGTGTAGATTCCTATGGAGAAGAACGAGCAAGAAACAATACAATTTTATTTTTCAATACAAATCGACTCGATGCATCCACTGTTCTGTTTAAACAAATGTTGGCGAGGCTTGGCCAAGGAATCGCCAACACACGCACAAACATTGGTGGCGTTGGTTTATAATTGATAATTTTGTCTAATTTGATATTATTTACTAGTTTAAAAGCTTAAAATATAACTTATACTTTATGTACTTATCAAAAGTAAGACACTCCAGCCGTTATACTGCTTTTTCGGTTGTTATTTTTGTAACTTGCAATTATGCACTGCGGCATCGTGAGACGTGAGTACGTTGGCCGTGTTTGGAGCATACTAAACAAAATAAGAGCTCACTTCTCAAGTGAGCTCTTATTTGTCGAGACGATTTTCTTGCGCTGACCCGATATCTAGTTGTTATTGTTGATCGAAGCTAACGAACGTTAGATTGTTATTAATCTTGATATAAATAAAACTGTATTGACGTCTTACATATGTAGATAAAAATCGATTAGCAACAACAACTATATTTTTTAGTTTTACAAGACAGATTAAAATCTCTCGACTTTGTTCAGTTATCGATGTGTTTCGAGGAGAATTATGACACTATGATGGACAAAATCATCGAATGACTTCTCCCGCCTACGTGAGGCGGGAGGGAGTGTCAAACTTTTACTGACTAAAAACCACCGCGTTCCTAATCTTGCACTTCTAGCCGGAGCCCCGGCTGTTAAGTTCTCCGCGCCTCGTATCGACATCAGCCCTATTGGGCCCCATCGGTGGTCTGATTGGGTTCGCTGCGATTGCAGCGGTAAGTCCCCTCTTTGAGGAGTGGCTTGAGAAACGCTACTGCCTGACGCAGGTCCACACCGGACATGGGAGGTACCTGTGTCATCACTGCGAGGACCGCCCTGAGGACACGGTGGAACACACAGTAGGGGAATGCCCTGCGTCGGCTGAGCACCGCCGTGTCCTCAGGGATGTGATCGGCGACGGCGACCTCTTGCATCCGACCCTAGTCCGGGTCATGATGACACTTCCTCTCACCTCGCCCGGACGAGAGAAGTCATTGGGTGATTTTTTCCCCTCAAAAAAAGCTACAATAATGCACCGACAACTCTTCTAGTGTTATGATTCATAACTTATGAATATAAGTACTTGATCTGCGTACTGTTGCCTCTTAACTATATCTGATATAAAAAAAACAATGAAGTTTTAAATACATATATTAAAGGAATATTTCTTTATAGGAAGAAGGTAACGGCTCACGATACTGAAAAGGGTTTAAAGAAAGAAGAATGTATTTATTAAAATATGGTCTCTTTATTTGCAGCCAAATTCCTGACCATTGCGGCAGTGGTATGTGTTGCTTACGCTGCTGAGAAGGCGGACAAGAATGGCACTGCCATCTTCAGAGCCTTTGAAAATGTGGACCCGAACGACCTTAGCTGCGATCCTGAAGGACATGTAAGTTGAAGTGCAAATAGTGTACATAGAAATATAGTACCTTTATTAAAACTGAATAACTAATAAAATAAAAAAAAAACTGCGTTTAAAAAGACCGACTTCAAAAACTAAAGACAAACGAAAAGTAAAACTAAAAAGGAAAAAAATAACTATTAGCGATAGCGAAAGATGCCGAATGAAAGACAAAAATGAACCTTCTGATATCACCTCTAAATCTATTTCAGGACCAAGCTTTCTATTGACTAGTTTTTGCCAGTACCAGCTTGAGCGCTAATTTGTGTATATTTTATGGTGTATTTTGTTTTAGATATTCCTACTGCTCCCTCACTTTTCCGACTGCTCAAAGTTCTACATGTGCGCTCATGGTGAAGAGGTGGAGTTCAATTGCGCCCCTGGACTTATCTTCGACTTCCAACTTCAGGTAAATTACTTGTGTTAATAGGTACTTTTTACTATACGGAACTTGTTGTTCACCACAAGCTTACGCTGCTGAACAACTAATAGACTGATTGTACGCTGCGTACACTTGCAGCGCGTTTGTTGAGGTTGGAGCGCGAAGAGAAAAGATTCACTTAGTTAGATTTAGAACGTTTAATTGTGTTCACAATAAAACTGTTGACGATTCCTTTCTCTAATGTTGGTTACCGCGTTGCAGTAATTGCACTCACTCATTTATTATGTTGTATCGGTATTTATAGGAACAAAATATGTACGTCAGTCATTTTAGGACTATACACTGATATACCGCATCATATTAACTCGTCGAGTACCGGTTTTGTAGACACAATTATAGAACAATAGGTTGCGGTCACCGGTGACCGCTTGGTGTTTGACAGTTTAACACGTAAAAATGAGATAAGCCGACAAACTGTCAAACGGGTCACCTGATGGTAAGCAATGGACAGTGGAAACACCTAGGATGTTACAATTGTGTTACCGGCCTTTTGATTGGGGATCTCGGATTTTTGGGGGGTGTAACTGGCCTTTCGGCAACCTCACTCACACGACGAACCACACCGCAAATTGGTTTTCTGTGAGGCCGTGGTATCTGGTATGGTCGAGCCGGCCCATTTCCAATGTTCCATTGATCTTAAATCTCTTTGGATACTTAGTTCTTCTTTTCCATTAGACCTGCAACTGGCCATGGGCTACGACCTGCCAGCTGAGGGACCCACAGCATGGCATTGGAGAAGAGGGCTCCGGAGACGACATCATCGGTCTTTTCGCTGATGAACTGGAGAAGCAGCCTGTTGGTGAGAGCTTTTTCATCCTATACTATTATATAAAGCGGAAGTTTGTTTTTTTGTTTGTTTGTTTGAAGGCGCTAATCTCCGTAACTACAAGTCTGATTTGAATAATTCTTTTTGTGTTGGATAGCACATTTCTTGAGGATGGCTATAATATATTATATTAAATAATCACGCTACGACCAGTAGGAGCTGAGCAGAGCGTATAAAGTAGCTAATACCTATATGGTTCAACTTGACGTGGCTTGCTGTCAAAGTGCACTTGTGTAGGCATATAACTATGTCTAGAATCAATCTTACACGCTGGATATGACCCCTCCCCAGTATCAGATACCTTCTAAGCAAATACTTTACATGTTCCAGATTCGATCTTTTCCGACAGTACTTTTGTTAATTTCATAATATGCCTTTTATCCCCGAACGGGTAGGCAGAGGTGCACATTACGACACTTAATGCCACTGTACAATGTAACACCCACTTTTCATTATTTATGTTATGAGTCCCATGTAATAGGGGATTTGTAGAAGAATTTGTAATCACAGAACTAGCCTATTGCCATATACCGGGCACAATTCCAGAATCCGTGCTACTACTAAGATTTTAAGAAAACCCAGTAATATTTTGCCCGAACCGGGAATCGAACCCGAGACCACTCGGCCAACAAGGCAGTCTAGTTTTATTAGTTTCCTTTATTGCATTATTATTCCGATTTAAAAATAAGGAATGAGGGGTCGACTGCTTATTAAATAATTGGTCTTAGCCCTCTTAGGAGTCATCTTTGAGACCTCTGTTAAGAATTTACGAGTGGAATGGAAGACAACTTCATAATGACCTATTTTTCTATCCACAGATACTGTAGCCAGTGTAAGACCTATATCCCCGATACTGGGCAGGTACAACGGTATCATCAACTGTAACAGAGCTGATGCTGCAGCCAGACAGGTGCCTTATAAGTAAGTAGACGGAAATCTTATATCTTATATACCTACTATTATATAAAACGGAAGAGTTTGTTTTTTTGTTTGTTTGTTTGAACGCGCTAATCTCCGTAACTACAAGTCTGATTTGAATAATTCTTTTTGCATTGGATAGCGCATTTATCGAGGATGGCTATAGGTTATAAAACATCACGCTACGACCAATGGGAGCTGAGCAGAGCGTGTGGAACCGCGCGGAAGTAGATAGTACAATATATACCTACTTCGTCCCTTGCTTTTTAACTCTTATTGTGTTTTGTTCTACTTTTTTTATAATAGATAACTATCGTGAGATATACTGAATTAACTAATAATGACGGGTTGCTCCGGTCCCTACGAAATGGTTGATCGGGCCGATTGCTGGCCCACACGTCATGATCGTGAACGGGCGCCTTTTGCGGCTAATAAAAATGTAATAAAATGTATGTGCATATGTACGGTTGGTGTGGTGGCTGGGCAACTGGCTGCCGCGGAACGTGTCGCGGGTTCGATTCCCGCACGGAACAATTCTGTGTGTGATCCACAAATTATTGTTCCGGGTCTGAGTGCCATGTGTGCGAACTTGTATGTTTATGACGACTTTTATCCCCAAAGTGGTAGGCAGAGGTGCACATTACGGCACTTAATGCCACTGTACCTCTACAATGTAACACCCACTTTTCACTATTCGTGTTATGAGTGTAATAGGGGGTGAGCCTATTGCCATATACCGGGCACAATTCCAGACTCCGTGCTACCACTGAGAATTCTATAAAATAAAACCAGTAATACTTTGCCCGACCCGGGAATTGAACCCGAGACCTCTTGTCCGGCAGTCGCACTTGCGACCACTCGCCAAACGAGGCAGATTATATTATAATACTTTTCTGAGACCACCATTCTTTCCCAGGGGTGATTGCCAAAGGTACTGGAGATGCGTCGCGGGCATACCACAAGTGGTATTCTGTTCCGACGGGCTATTCTTCAACGAATTCACCCAACAATGTGATTTCGAAGCGAATTCCAAGTGCATACAGGAACAAGAAGATGAGTTGAAACAGGAATTCATAAAATACGAATAATAATACAATATGGCTGACTTTAATATGTGATACAGTGACAGGCAAACTTTTAGATTGAACTGTCAAAGTGTTGTCAAAACTCAGCCGACTATGGTTATTTGGCTGAATTTTGACCGGTTTTAAACTTGGTACAGTTTGTTATTTAAATACCTAGATTATTTATCTTTTTTTGTACATAATGAATGTTGAGATAATAGAAAGAAAGAAAGAAAGAAAAAACATTTATTTAGCACCAGGCACGATGCAGCATACATAAATAAAAAAAAAAAAAAAAGACAATCAAGGTGTGACAGTGGGAGTAATAAAAATATAAGAGTTGAAAAATTTAAACAGAAGAATTAGAAAAGAGACGCTGACAACATGCCTATGCTAAAAGGGTGACCCACTCAGTGTAAGCCAGGCATACAGGTTACCCAGCACTGATTTTCAGTGGGCACCCATGCAGTGACGCACGGATGGTAGCAACGTTGAATGGTTAGACAAAGACAACAAGAAAATATATATATATATTATATACATATATAATAATGCATCTGCACACCCACCACACACACATATACATACACACACACATATACATATACATACATATACACACATACACACATATTTATGCAATAAGTATGCAGATACAACAATGGTATACTTATCAATGTAATAAATATAAAAAGTAATGTAAAATAAAATAAAAATAAAAAGTAAAATGTTAATAAATAGTACACATGACACAACGAAGGACATAGAACAGCCAGTATGTCTGCGTTCTGTATCATTCATACACTAAACTGGCTAGAGTTAAATGATAGACAGATCAACATTAATTGCAGCCTTGTCTTTTTGTGAAGTTAAAATAAACATTTTAAGATTGTATTTGAAACTATTTATACTTGGTGAGTCTCTGATTGGTGGAGGTATATTGTTCCAACATTTGGACGCTGCGTACCGAAAACTGCCTCGAAATGCTGCTGTTTTATGTTGAGGTATAGCTAGATGTTGAGGTATAGCTAATAGTGAAATGTAAGTTGGTAAATAATTATTTAATTAATAATTCAGCTAGCATTGATATTGACCGATTGGTATAAATAAAAGTGATTAGATTCGCTGGTCGACATTAATCACACAGTATTCCATCATCAGGACACCTTTATCTATGTATTTATATTTATTTTATTTATTTATACTTTATTGCACACATAGAAAAAAATTGTGAGCATTTCAATAGTAATTTGAGTACAATGGGCGGTCTTATCACACGCGGCGATTTCTTCCAGACAACCTTTGGATGGAATTTTTGAAAAGAATCTGGGAATGGGTGGTAGATATTATTATACTCTATGAATTTGTATATAACGTTCGTCTTTCATTTTAATTAATTTAATTACTGCAAGAGATTTCATAACATACCTAAATTATAAATTAAGTCTTATCAATTTTGTACATAACATTACGCCTTTTATCTCCGAGTGGTAGGCAGAGTACATTACGGCACTTAATGCCACTGTACAATGTAACAGCCACTTTTCACTATTTATGTTATGAGTCCCATGTAATAGGGGTTAGCCTATTGCCATTTACCGGGCACAATTCCAGACTCCGTGCTACTACTGAGATTTTTTGAAAAAGCTAAGTATTACTTTGCCTGACCCGGGAATCGAACCCGAGACCCCTTGCCCTGCAGTCGTAATTGCGACCACTCGGCCTACGAGGCAGTCAAGATCAATATCAATTTTGTATTTCTAGCTAATTATCCTTAAATATGTAAGTTTTGCCGAATACAGACTTTACTTTTGCTAAACAAATTGTTATTTCATTATAGTGTCATTGATCTGTACAATAATTTTCTACAATAATTTATTTTATTTTGTATTTTATTTACAGTATAATGTATGATATTAATTTGTTTTATGATATAAGGAAATAAATAAAAGATACGTACAACAAGCAATATTGTTTTATTTATAAAAATATTTTACGATGATAGGGTAATTTCCTAAATTTTATTTTAATGTCCGTCTGATACCTTAATTTTAAACTTTAGACACGTAATTTTTTTTTTCACACAATATTAAATACTTTCGACGATATATTAATTTGAAATATCGTGTGACGTCACAGCGTGCCACATTTTGTAGCACGTTATGACGTAACGACATCCCACTTTTAAACTTACCATTTTATCTAATTATTGCAACTTAATACGAGAAAATAAAAAAAATACGTGTCTAATATTTTTTCACTGTTTTACTGACGGACTAATTACATTTTTAATATTGATAACTTAAAGACTACCCAATTGATGATACATGATCACATTAATCAATCTGTTCATTTAAACTATATGCTCAAACTCACATACATACAACAAGTCATACAGACAACTTATATCAGGGGTGGCCAACCGGTCGATCGCGACTGTTAGTTTAGTCGATCGTGGCCAGACAAAATATATAAATAAATAGACCAGACTGCGCAATGCGCAACGTTTTAACAATTATCAACTACTATCTACAAACTAGATTATGCTAAACTAGTGGAAAATGCTCACACTAATATATAGGACCCATATAATGTTAAGTAAATTTAAGAAAACGATCTCACATGTGATATTAAAAGAAACCACTAAGACTGGTCAATAAAAAATACATGATTGTGTACTAAACTACGCAGTTTAATTTCAAGAAGTTTGTACTTGGCAGATCGCACAGGATTTCGCTAGTAAACAGTCGATCTTAGGTCTAATCAAGTTGGCCACCCCTGACTTATATGAAGAATGTTCATTATATTTTTAATATCCTTGACCCTTGAAGAAGCTGGGTCCAGGTTTGTCCACTCTTTCAAATGGATAGTACGGGTGATTTTGCCAGAATGTTGGGAAGAATATTCTATAGTCCCTGTTGAATTCACCTGTTGATACAATAATTAGTTGTTAGGTTCATTATTATCTAATGATAAGGAAATATTAGTGCAAAATTTCGTCGTAATTGGACCGGTAGTTTCTGCGTAATGCGTAAACATACATACAGACAAACAGACAGATAGACAAATTTTTCGTAATCTCATTTTTGGCTTCAGTGTCTATCTAGCACCCCCTACTATTTATTTTGTTTAATATCTTCAATGTACAGAATTTACAGTTCTACAGTTTTATTATACGTAGGTATAGATATAATGACATAAGACAACATATAGGATATAATTTCTTTATTATATCTATGGATAAAATACACAAAAAAAATAATTATGGGGTAAGCCGGTCAACGATCAGACGGATCACCTGATGGTAAGCAATCGGCGTCGCCCATGGACACCTGGAACACCAAGGCGTTCCAAGTGCGTTACCGGCCTTTTAGGGATTAGGAATTTGAAGATTCTGGGGATATAGTAGGGGAATATGATTTCAGTCGAGTCGACCCATTTATGCTGAATGCTCTTAATCTTAAAATAGAAAAAAGGAGATAAAGAGACCAAAGACTTGTCTATAAAGTTTAAGTTTAGTCAATTAATTAGAAATTATGAAACAGGCTCTGA